CTTATGGCGGGTCCGCGAGGACTTCGCGCTCGGCAGCTACCCCGTCCCCGAGGAGGCCGCGCGGATCGTCGCGGCGGCCATCGCGGGCGGCGAGACGCCCGTCGCGGTCGGCGACCACAGCGACCGCCCCGGCGACGCGACGCACATCCTGAACGCCTTCCTGGCGGCGGGGATCGGCAAGACCCTGTACGGCACGATCTCGTCGCCGGCCACCCTGGACACGCTGGCGGCCACCGACGCCCAGCCGGGCGACCCCTTTGATCACGAAATCGGGGGCTTCACCCCCTCCGGCGGCTCACCCCGGCGGATCACCGGGACGCTCGAGTACTTCGACGAGGGCTTCGGCTACGACCGGATCGCCGCCGTCTCCTTCGGCGACGGCAACCTCGTCGTCCTCGTTCCCGCCTATGAGCAGGTCCTCTACCCGGAGGCGTTCCGCATCGGGACGATCAACCCCGACGACTACGACGTTTTCGTGGTCAAGTCACGCGTGCACTTCCGGCGCGGCTTCGACGAGACCGGCTACGCGCGCACCATCCAGATCGTGGAGGCCCCCGAGCCATTCGTGGGGACGACCTTCCTCGACGCGCTGCCCTACGAGAATGTGGATCTCGGTGAGCTCTACCCCTACGGGGCGCCGGAGAAGCGGCGCTAACAGCCGGTGGTGAAACTCACGTGAGCGCCGAGACCGGTGAGGCCCAGTTCTCCCGGTGGGGGCGAGGCGCCCGGCTGACAAGGCGCGTGAGGGAGGAATACCTGGTGTATTTCGACCGAAACGCAACGATGAGCGGCGCAAAGCGGCGCGGTTCAGGCGGGATGCATCGCCGCTCGAGCGCCGCGTGGGTTTCACCACAGGCTGTTAACCCCGGCTCGTTCAGCCGGCGGTGCCGCGGCCCTGGTTTCGTGCTCCGCGCGGTGCCGACCCGGAGGTCGGCGACCCGTTCACCCGGTGGGGGCCCCTGCCCGGCGGCGCCATCCGGCCCGCGGGCGTTCCGGCGTGACTGCTTTTTCAAAGCAGCGGCCCGACGTTTTCGTCCCGATAGCGCCCGGGATCTCCGCCCCTGACGGGATCTCCGCCCCTGACGGGATCTTCGCCCCTGACCGGATCTTCGCCCCTGACGGGATCTCCGCCCCTGACGGGCCCGACGCGTTTCACGGCTGCTTCGACCGTGGGCAAGATCTCCAGAATCTGGTCCAGGCCGCTGACCCTGAAGACCTCCTGGACGAACGCCCGGCACTCGCACAAGGCGAACTCTCCCCCGAGGCCTTTCAGTTCCCTGGCCAGGTTCAGCAGGATCCACAGCCCGCTGCAGTTGATGTACCGCACCTCGGCGCAATTCACCACCACTCGCGTCGCCCCTCCGGGTGCTCGCACGCAGGCCATGGCTGCGCGCTCGAAACTGGTGGTCGTGCGGCCGTCGAGACGGCCCCGGGGTGACAGCACCAGGACTCCGTCCCTGATCTCTACCGCGACCTTCATGGGTTTCTCCCCGGCCGCCGCCGGGGCAGCCAGGGTCGAACCATCGCGAGGCCGGTGAGCCGGTCCGTTCCGCTCGCCGCTGGACACTGTCTGCGGACCCGCGGGACGGAGGCCCGCTGGCAAACCGGCGGGACGGGGGTTCGAGGGTGTCACCGTGCTGGCGCGGAAGACGGATCTTCCTCCTCGCTGTTCCGAGCCCCCGGCTCCTCGCTCCGGCGCAACCCGGGTTCCGCGCCTTCCGGCGAGGCCCGTCCGCGTTTCCCGTCGTCCGTGCGCCGGGTTCTATCCCGGGACGTCTTCTTCGGAGTCCTCCCGGCCGGCGCGATCTCGATCGTGCGGATCCTGATTTCGGCCCAGTGCGGCCGGTTTTGCCTGGTCACGCCAGTGCTCCTCCCTTGGTCCTCCCGGTTTCGTCCGGTCGTTTGGCGCCCCGCCTCCCGGCGGGCCCAGGAGGCAGTGCGGTTGGTACGGACGCGGGGCCGCTTCCCGAGCGATCGGGCGGCGGTGAAGCGCCTCTAACACCGCGGCTGCTGCCGCGTTCCGGCCCGGAGCCGACCAGCCCGAGGCGCTCCTCACGGAAGGGTTCGTTCGCTTGCCGTCCCGCTAACAGCCTGTGGTGAAACTCACGTGAGCGCCGAGACGGGCGAGGCGCCCGGCTGACAAGGCGCGTGAGGGAGGAATACCTAGTGTATTTCGACCGAAACGCAACGATGAGCGGCGCGAAGCGACGCGGTTCAGCCGGGATGGATCGCCCGTCGAACGCCGCGTGGGTTTTGCCACAGGCTGTTAAGGGGCCCATGACACTCCGAACCACCTGAAAGACGGGAATCTGGCGGGTCCTGAAATCTGGCACGTCTGTTTCCCTCGCTCTGTTTTACATCTGTTGGTTGCGGAATCCAAAAATGATTCTTATGGTTCCAATATACACCAACTAAGGCAAACTGCAAAATGCGAACTGCACCGCGGGCTTCAAACCAACATCGGAGGTTTCGGACCCCTCCAAATCCCCGAGTCGCTGCGTGGCGGTCAGCTTCAGATATACGTGTTTATCCGATTAAATCAGTGACTTGTCCAACTGCCGGGGTCTTGGCGCCATCCGCCCATCATGGCCTCCGGGCCGCCCCCAACGCCTCGGAAAGCTCCGCGCCACCTCGTTGGCGGTCCCCAATCCGAATTGCAAAATAAACCGAAAACGTCCGAACTACGGTTGAGAAGGCGCGGCGCGCCTGCCTGGGAGGCGGACACGGCTCCTTCCACCCCGCCGGCCGGTCGCGAAGGGGGCCGGTCGCGAAGGGGCCGGTCGCGAAGGGGGATGCCCCCGGGGTGCCGCCGCGTCGGAACCCCCCGCCGCCTATCGACCGCAACCCCTCCAGATCCCGTCAACCCACCCCTCCGCCGGCATCCAATCACCCCGAAAAAGTGGGACGTTTTCGAAGCCCAGAAGTGGGACATTTTCGAAGCCCATTGACAGCAGGCCGGTGAGGCCGCGGAAGGCCCCGCCAACGCGGTTCTGGCAGAGGCGAGCGCTCGCGCCGCGGATGGGATTCACGCGGCTGTCCGGTCGTAGTCGATGCCGGAGGGTGGAGATCCGCTGGCTTCGCCGAGGACGCGCGCGCCCTCCCACCGACCGGTTGGAGGCCACTACGAAGCCGTCCTTTTCGTAGCGCTGGCCTTTTCGTAGCGCTGGCCCCCTCGGCAGCCTGCCTCCTGAACCTCAGGGAACAACCGAAGCGCCGACAAGGGCGGAAGCGCACGCAGCCGGCATTCGATCAGACCTGGCGGCTGGCGCTAACAGCCGGTGGTGAAACCCAGGCGGCGTTCGCCCGGCGATCCATCCCGGCTGAACCACTCTGCTTCGCCCCCCCACCGGGAGAACTGGCGTTCTGCGTTGCGTTTCGGTCGAAATACACCAGGTATTCCTCCCTCATGCGCCTTGTCAGCCGGGCGCCTCGCCCCCACCGGGAGAACTGGCCAGCCTCGGCGCTCACCCGGGTTCCACCACAGGCTGCTAAGGCAGGAGCAAGGGCCCCAGGAAGCCGGCCCACACACCCACGCCGGTCCCCATTCCGAGCACCACGGCCGTTACCGCGACCCACCGGTTCTCCCGAGGGAAGTACTTCCAGAGGAAGATGCCGGCCCCCACCAGCGAAACGACGCCGGGCAGGACCCAAACGGCCAGGGGAATGCCCGTCAGCCGCTCCAGCCAGCATTCGTCACATCGACCTCTAGCGGTGACTCCAAAAATCGGGAGCGCGAGCGCGATCAGAGCGGCCCCGATGCGAGCGTTGGACAAGTAGCCCATGGCTATAAGCAGGGGATGGGCCTTCCACTTCGCGCACAGCCAGCAGCAGGCGAACACAACCAGATAGGTAGCCACGAGGCCCATCGCAGTCGCCGTCGCTACCCCCCAGACGGGAGCGACTTCCGCGGCGGCGGCCAGGTCGTCCTCCATCACCGCGCGGGAGAAATCGCCGCTGCCGGAATAGCCCGCCGAGCCGTAGTGCAGGGCGGCGCCGGGGAAACCCAGTCCCCAAAAGACCAGGAAATGACCGAGTTCGTGCAGCAGGACCGTCGGCGGCATGGACAAGACGCCCCAGAGCCCCCAGCGCAAGGCGATCCGTTTCCGCGAAGCGAGCGCGGGCTGGACGCTGTCGGAGATCGAACCGTCGGCTGTCATGGAGTGCCTCCCTGGGACCGGAGAGCGACCAGGCCGCTACGGCCTGGCCCCGCCCCACCTGACCGCCGGTCTGACCGCTCGCCTGATCGCCCGCCTGATCGGTGGTAGCGCCGCAGGAATTCCCGCATCCGGTCGTCCAAGCCTACGGAAGGAGCAAGGGCCCCAGGAAGCTGGCGTAGAAAACCAACCCCATCGCGATGCCGAGAGACATCGCCCCCACGGCGACCCGGCGATGGTCGCGCGGGAAGTACCTCCACAGCCAGATGGCGGCTCCCACCAGGGAAATGACGCCCGGTAGTGCGAGCACGGCCAGGGGGATCCCCGTGATCCTCTCCAGCCAGCATTCGTCACAGACGGCATTCACCCGGGCCCCGCCGAGGGTAAGCGCGACAGCGATCAGGGCAGCGAAGATACGAAGGTTGGAGAGATAGCCCATGGCCACGAGCAACGGGTGTGCTTTCCACTTCGCACACAGAGCGCAACAGGCCAAAACGACGGCATACGTCGCGATGAGTCCCATCGAAAGGGCCGTCGCCACCCCCCACACCGGAGCGAACTCCGCCGCCGCGACCAGGTCGCCCTTCATCACCGCGTTGAAGAAACCGCCGCTCCCGCTAAAGCCCGCCGAGCCGTAGTGGAGCGCCGCGCCAGGAAGACCCAGCGCCCAAAAGACCAGGAAATGCCCGAGTTCGTGCAGGAGCGCCGCGGGCGGCACGGAAACGGCGCCCCAGAGCCACCAGCGCAGCGCAACCTGCTTCCATGACGCGGCCCGGGGAGGGGAGCTTTCGGCGATCGCGCTCTCGGTTGCCATGGGACTCCTTCCCCGGGAATCCCGGCGGGGGCTTACTCCGGCTCGCTCAGCCGGTTGTACTTCCGGAGGATGTCACGGAGCCGGTCGTGCGGTAACCCGTAGATTTTTCGGCCGTTCACCCCGACGATGTCGCGTCCCGCAACTAACGCATTGATGATGGCCTCTTCGGTCGCCTGCACCACCCCCTCGAACAGGGAGTTGATGTTGTTGTTGGCGAGGTTCTCGAGCGGAGCGATGCCGCTCTCGTTGTGCGCGGCTTCCTGGTTCGCGGTGGAGAAAGCGACGAAGATGTCTCCGGAGCCGTTCGAGGAAATGCTTCCGACCCGGCCGAGGGCGAGCGAGGTCCGGCGGATGAACCGGTTGAGCTGGTGCGGCAGCAGCGGCGCATCGGTCGCCGCGACGATGATGATCGAGCCATCGCGGCCCTCGGCGTCGTCCGCGCCCCCTTCGTCGTCATCACGGGGAGCATCGAACGGCCCGAGCTCCGGGGTGAGGTCCGGGATCTCCCGTCCCACCGGCACCCCGGCGATGGTCATGAGGTTCCGGCTGCCGAAATTCGACTGTACGAGCACGCCGACGACGTACTCGTTGCCCCCGGCCTCCACGATCCGGGAAGCGGTCCCGATCCCCGCCTTGAAGCCGAACGTGCGCATCCCGGTGCCGCCTCCCACCGAGCCTTCCGCGACCGGACCGCTCCGCGCCGAGTCGAGCGCGGCGAAGACGTGCTCCTGCCGGACGTGAAAGCCGTTGATGTCGTTCAGGAAACCGTCCCAGGTCTCGGCAACGACGGGCAGGCTCCAGTCCGGCGCGTCGAGGTTCGCCTGCGCCCAGGCGATGGTGGCCTCATGGACGGCGCCCACGCTGTGCGTGTTCGTGATCATCACCGCGCCCTCGAGAATGCCCCGGTCGCGCATCCAGGTGGTGCCCGTCATCTCGCCGTTTCCGTTCAGCGTGAACCAGGCGGCGAAGACCCGCCCGCGGCTCGCGCGGCCCCGCGGCAGCACCGCCGTCACGCCGGTGCGGACCGGGCCCCTCGCCCACCACGAGTTCCCCCTCCCCGCGGATGATCGTGTGGTGTCCCACCTCGATCCCGGCCACGTCGGTGATGGCGTTCAGCGACCCCGGCGTGCCCTCGAACGGCACTCCGAGATCGCGAGCCCGGGGCGAATCCTGGCCGGACGCGGCAGCCGCCCACCCGAGCAGCCCTACGGTAACGGCGGCAAGCGCGGCGATGAGTCGCTGCGAAGCGTTTCTGCGGGTGTTCATGAGGACGTCTCCTGCGGAGCGGGAAGCTTGTCAAACAACGAACGGGGTGCGCCGGGCGCCCGCGGCGGACGGAAGAGATCCAGTCGGAACGACGGATTTTTCCGGTCGAGGCCGAAGCGGCGCGAGGCCACCCGGAACCGGCTTGCGAGGAGTTCCGCGTAGGGCCCCTGCCCCCGCATGCGCTCCCCGAACTTCGCCTCGTAGAGATTTCCGCCACGCGTTTCCCGGATCAGGCTTTCGACGTGGGCCGCGCGGGTCGGAACGTGCGTCTCCAGCCACTCCGAGAAGAGCTCCTTGAGTGAGTGCGGCAGCCGGACCAGGATGAACCCGGCCGAACTCGCGCCCGCCTCCGCCGCGGCCTCCAGGATGGCCTCGAGTTCGGAGTCGTTGAGCGCCGGAATCATCGGCGACGCGAGCACGCCCACCGGGACCCCCGCCTCCCGGAGCGCGGCGATGGTGCCCAGCCGCCGCGCGGGAGCCGCCGCGCGGGGTTCCATGGCCCTCGCGAGATCGCGCCGGAGCGTGGTCACCGAGACCATCACCCGCGCGAGCCCTTCCCCGGCCATCTCGGCGATGATGTCGAGATCGCGCAGGATCAGCGCCGACTTCGTGACGATGCCGGTCGGGTGGCGCGCCTCGCGGAGCACCTCGAGGATCTGCCGGGTGATGCGGAGGTCACGCTCGACCGGCTGATAGGGATCGGTGTTCGAGCCGAGCGCCAGCGGACCGACCCGGTAACCGGGCTTGCTGAGTTCGCGCCGCAAGAGGTTCGCCGCCTCCGGTTTGGCCACGATCTTGGTCTCGAAGTCGAGGCCGGACGAGAACCCCAGGTACTCGTGGCTCGGCCGCGCGAAACAGTAGATGCAGCCGTGCTCGCAGCCCCGATAGGGGTTGATGGACCGGTCGAACGGGATGTCCGGCGAGTCGTTCCGGGCGATGATCGTCTTCGTCCGGTCGATGATGACTTCGGTCGGAACGCGCTCGGGCGGGGGATCGCGCGAATCCCACCCGTCGTCGAACGCCTCCTCGCGAAATCGCTCGAAGCGCCCGGCCGGGTTGGACAGGGCCCCCCGGCCCCGGAGGGGCTTCCCCCGGCCTCCGGGATCCACAGGCTGCTAACAGCCTGTGGTGAAAGCACCCCGCACGAGCCCCAGGAGGTCGCGCGCGGCGAATCCGTCGGTTTGTGTGCGTGCGGGGCGCTTTCCCCACGGGTTGGTGGTGCGACCCCCCACCGGGAGAACTGGTGCTGCGCGATTCGGACCACCGTCTTTCGTGGGGAGGGGAAACCCCTCCCCACACCCCACCCCCGCGGCGCTGCGCGCCGCGAATGCATGCCTTCCGGGTTTCACCACAGGCTGCTAACCCGGCAGGAGGGCGTCGAGCAGCCCTGCGAGGGCGGCCTCGATCTCCCCTGAGTCACCTGAGGTCCGGACCAACTGCCCGCCGCTGATTTCGGCCAGGTAGGTCAGCACCCAGAAGGGATCGACATTCCGGAGACCGCGCAGGTCGCGTCCGGAATCCTGCAGTTGGCGGCCCTCGAAATTGATCTGGTTCGCCAGATCGTCGGCGCCGATGCTTCCGTAGGTCCCGCCGACCCGGCCGGATCTGCTCATGTTCGGGGGGGCGGTTACCGAGAGCACGGCGGGAGGCACCGCTCCCGCGGCAAAGAGCGGCCACGCATCGCGGGCCCAACTGGCGCCGTCCACTCCGTCCGTGAAGACAACCAGAACCGGACGCCCCGGGGCATCCGCGAGGAGCCCGAACGCAAGGGTGAGCGCGTTGTTGAGCGCCGCCGGACCGCCGCTGCGCAGCTCTCTGGCCGCAGCGCCGCATCGGCACAGGTCCCGTCACAGCCGGCGTGTGAGCTCCACCGAGCGGGGTGAACCGAGGAGCGCGCAGCGATCCTCCTCGTCGAGCGAAGAGAAGAGAGCGCGGAGCCCGGCGACGGCGGCCCGCAGCCGCGCTCCGGTAACGCTGGAGCTCAGGTCGAACACGGCGACCAGCGACAGCGGTTCCTCCCCGGTCCACACCGGCCGGGGCAGGTCCTCGCGCCGCCGGCGCAACAGTTCCAGGCCCGCGCCTCCGACCCCGGGAGCCGCCCCCGCGCGAGGATGGGCCTGGGCCGCAGTGGCGGCGACCGGGTTCCGCGTGCTGTCCTCGTCGGCGGAGTCGGCAACTCCGCCTGCCAGGAAGGGACCCGCCAGCAGAATCGCAGCGGTACGCCCGGGAACGCTCTCATTCTCCGTCCTTCTCCGTCCCACCGCGGGCTCCCGCACCTCGTCCTTCATTCGCCTGGACATCTCGGGTATTCAGCGCCGGGCCCAGCCAATAATACCACCACGCATTCGGCTCCCAGCCGAGGACCTCTCCTGCGCACCAGGTTTGTCGCAGCGCGGCCGCACCGCCTTCGTCTCCCAGTCTGAGCCTCGCCGCCACCAGTCGGCGACGGCCGCGGCGAGATCGCCGGCCGTCGACTGACCGCCTGGGCGAATGCGGCTTCGGCGGCTTGCGAATCGCCCATCGAAAGCGCCCGCCTACGGAGCCTCAGGGACGCGAGCGCGGCGAGCCCTGCCAGCGCAACCCTTCGAGCGATCGAGTCGTCGAGAGCGTACCTCGGCCAGCCGTAGTCCAGCAGCACGCCGCGAGCTGCACCGGAGCGCGGCTCATACCGGAGTCTCCTCGAGGAGACGTGAGCCAGCCGGTGGGCCCGGACGCAGACATACGCGGGTTCTCTCACGCTGTCGGCACCCCGAACACCACACAGTGTCCCGAGCGAAGGCGCGCGCGTAGCGCATGGTCATATCCGGAAGATCTTCGAGTGCGCGGTCTCGAAAGCTGTCCACCAGAAAAGGCAGAACAAAAGCGCGACCGAAAAGCGCTGCACACATGGTGCGAATAGCCAAGCGCAGCCACCAGCGGCGGGTCAGTCGGTCGCTGCCTCCGGTCCGGATCGCTTCGCCAGATTCCTTCCGCGCCATCTGCAGATGGAGTCTCGGTTGCCGTGACGGCCGCCTCCGTGTGCAGCGAGAGCCGCGCGTCTGAGGTCCCGGACCACCGAGGGACCCGAAGTGCGATGAAGTCGTCCGACACCGTTCCACGGAGTAGGCGGAGGTAAAAGCCCGCGAGCACCGCCGCCGGCCCGAGCTGATGAGAGCCCGCCGCGCCCCTCGTTTCTCAGCAGTTCCTGTAGGCGTCCCGTCGACTCTCGGCCCTCCCTGCGCCGGGAGGACTGGAGAACCGACGATTGCCGCCAGCGCAAAAGCGACGGCTACAGACAGAGAACGCATCCGGGTTAGCGACCCTGAATTAGTAGCAGGATACGTGCCGCGGCAGTCGCCTGGCGGGCAGCTCTTGCCGGCGGCGGCGTGCCTCGTATCGAAGCGGCGATTATGTTTTGTTTGTGTTTGTAACGGAAAAAAGAACCCGCCGCATCAAGCAAACGACGCCCGTGTCAGCGACTCTCCCCTCCCCCACCACCCCTGCCTCGCGACCCGTGTCGTCACGGTCGGCATGGGACTGCTTTCTCCGGTCGGAACAAACCGGAATCTCCGAACATCGGACTCGCCTCCATGCCCGGACTCAGTCCCCTTTTTTCGGTCTACGAGCCAGGCTGTGACCTGCCAGACCGGCTGCCAACTGGTGGGCGCCTACCGGGAACCGCGTCACCCCGGCGCCACCTCGGCTCGAGCGCTCTGACTGCGCGCTTGTCACATGGGCCGCATGTCGCTGCTCGCGTGCGCGACGCGCGGTCGCGCGCGCCTCGAACGGCTAGGGACTCCCGACCCGGGAATCTGGCGTGTGCGTACTGGTGGTCGGATCGGCACCGGCGAGATTCGCGACGCCGCGTGAATTGGCTGCGCCGTCTCGACCCGCGGCGGTCGCGTCGGGTCCTGCCCCGACACATCCCGCGCTATGGCCTCTTCGGGTTCGGCGTCGCAACCTGGCACGGTGCTGAGACGCGGGCCCTTCGCTGTCGGTGACCGCGGCCTGTCGACGGAGAGCGCGTCACCCAACCATCGCCATCGCCGCCTCCTGGATCCGGGAAGGCATTGTGGACCACGCTCTCGCGGGCGGAGTCGAGGCGGAGGACGTGCACTTCCATCTCGGCTTCGACTCCATGCGCGCCTACACCCGGGTGGACAACCACCGCCCGGAGTGGGCTTCGAGGCCCTATGCCGCCGATCGCGCCGGTTTCATCTTCGGCGAGGGCGCCGGCATCCTCGCCCTCGAGTCACGAGAATCCGCCGAGCGGCGCGGCGCGGAAATCCTCGGCTCCCTCCGCGGGTTCGGAATGTCCTCCGACGGGAGCGGAGAGATGGGGCCCCGTGACACCCGTCGCAGGTCGAGCGGACTCAGTCATCCGGCGGGCGCTCCGCCACAGCGGCGTGCCCCGGGAGGCGATCGCTACACATCACTCACACACCCACGGCACTTCGACCCCCCTCGGCGACATCTCCGAGGTCGGGCGATTCGCCGCGTCTTCGACGACGCCCTCGTCCCCTACGGCTCGACGAAGGGGTACACCGGCCACACGGTGTCCGCCGCCGGCGCGCTGGAGGCCGCCTTCACCCTCCTGATGCTCCGGGAGGGCTGGCTGTCGCCCTCGCTGAAGCGCGGACAGCTCGATCCGAATCTGGAGAACTACTCCGTGCTCGCCCACCGCACC